TGTTTGAGAATGAAGGGCAACTTTTGTTTCACTTGCCGGATAACCTAGCAACACTTTAATTAAAGGATTACCCCTATTTCAACCCGTGTAATGACTTTCATAGTCCTGATATCTTTTTCCCCATTGTAACACCCTTTTATATTCCTTTATTGTGAACTATCTTATTTTAAACTATATAAGTTATATAGGCTTCCCCCCTGTAATTCTTAATATAACCTAAACAAATCCATTAACCATCCTGAATAATTAAAACCAATTTTTATTCCTATATCCTATGTCCCCAATTTATCCATTAGTGTTGACTATATTACCACAACCCATCAAATGCAAGTAAATTAGTCAACTCCCAAGCAATCCCAAAAACAAAGCCTCTAACCCTTCAATACTACAATCCCCATAAACCCCCTTGCTCTATAGGCCCTTGCACTATAAGCACCTAATTATCTTAAATTTAAAGAATAATGTCAGTCCTTGATTCCCAACCCAACTGTAATTAAACCCCAGTGATGCACATAGCCCCCAAAATGCAATTTTTAATGAATCAGTTTGCCAAGCTTATGCGAAATGGTCACAACATCACATATCCTGTTAGGGAAAGATTTTGTAACCATAATCAGTACCAAAACCTTTTTGACTTGATCCTCTGCCGCGTCACGTGATCACTTCCTGTATCTCCTCGCTCCCCCTCTCTCCTGTCTCTCATGACAAGGGACAAAGACACAAGAACAGCTTTTAGTAGTTAATGCCATCACTGAGTATTTCCAACCATTCAATATTCGTTCGTTCTACATTCGCTCTAAGACTTTAACTCAGGACTAATTATAGATCGCCCAAAAACATTTTGCTTTTAATCCGTCATTTAATTATTTAATTCAATCTATTATAATCCGTTATCCTATATTTAATTTATAAATTCAATAGGTACCCAAACAAGTTTCATCTTAACCCACCGCCGTTTAAACTTATAAGATTCGTGTTAAACTCTCCTTGTGCCTATTTGTTCCGTCGTCTGTGTTCCTCTGTCTCCCCCTGCAGTTTAACCAATGTGTTGTTTTACAGAATTCCACGCATGCGCAAATATCATTTTAACCTCATGCTTGAGTTTCAGCATCCCCTCGTGGTGTCGTTTAGTGCCGTAAAACAAAACGTTCCCTAATCTCGTGCCATAAACTCCCCTTTCTGTAGTGTAGTGTCGCAAAACTAAACGCATGCGCACATCCATTCAAAAATACCTTTTCCCCGTGAAAGAATGATTCTCTACTAAATCGATAACAGTCCAGCTGTACCTTTCGTTCCCCTCCTAGTCAACCAACATTTAACAGCGCTCACAAAACATACAACCTGACTTACAGACAGTGACAAGTTTAAGAGACTTTCACCCATCGCAATGGAATCTCTAAGGATATCCGTTAGCATGTAGCACGCAACACAATTAGCATGTAGCATTAGCATTTAGCTTAGCCTAAGGTACACCGTGGCACAAAACACAATTAGCATGTAGCATTTAGCCACGATGTACCACGTGACCCGTAACAATCCAGCCTTAGCTTCAGCCTCTAGCCAACTGCGACCTACTAGCTATACAAATGAACACCCCGCACCGCGGCCCAATCATTGTCCATGATTATCAATATCTCCGTCTAACTTTGTGTTGCCGTAAGTTCTGGATAATCATAGAGAGTTTACCCCAAGCATTATAGTTCGTCAACCATACGATGAGTATATAACATGCATATAATTCATCCAGCTTAATAATTCCCAGAATTAACCATACACCACATAACGCGTTGCAAGGATTTTATGGCCCATTCCTAAAGAATCGCCTCGACTCGAGGGCTTTTCCAGATCCCCCGGTGCCCTAATTATGCAGACGTCTCCCAACATTATTCTCTACTAATCCATTGTCACCCGTTACCAATGAATTATACACGTTCAATACTTAAATCCTACCGTTTAATGCTCTACATTCCAATTAACTGCCGTTTTTGATGGAATAAATTTTAGCAGACTCTAGTCGACCAGCAATAACACCACCGAGGCCGGGTCGAAATGGAACATCCCTTCAATGTACACAAGTCATATCCAATCTAACAACCTCCGAAGCGGTAAGAACACACTCACCCTTTTTCGGCCATGCTTCAGAGAGAGTTAGGCCGGCGGTTGACTGAAACAAGGAAGAGACGCAAAACCAGCCCCACGTTGGGCGCCATTATGTCGTATATGATGAATGGTGGTCATTATTGCCGTCAACAAAGAGTTCGCTATGCTGTATCGTGTTAGAGGCTTTTATTAAAATCACGAATTTCCAGCATAGATACAGACTCGCGATGTCCGGAGAACGGCTCCCCAGATTGATATGGCCGTTCTGCCGTCTCATCGTTTAACCCCTATTTATAAACAATGCAAAAAGAGGAGTGACTCCCCTCTTCTGGCCAATCACCAGTCTCCCCTGGGGCATCACCCTCCCAACGCTACATTTGAACTAAGATCATAAAACAACATTCTTTGTTCCTCCAAAACATTTAACAAAGGCATAATCTTCAGATACGATAGTAGGGAGGGATGTTTTTTCTGTTTGTCCAGATTGACAGTCTATTTATTGTGGTGTTGAAAAAGCAAACCATGATAATGAAGTGGCTGAAGTCGGTATGCTTTGTTTATTGGTTGTGTTGTGTATTGGCATAGAAACCTGTTGGTGGAAAATGTGTTGCATATATTTTATAGAATTATAGATATGGCATCAAAATGTTGAAAATCTGATTTCCCCCTAGCTGATCATTGTCTGCAGCCGGCTCTGATCGTAGTGTAATGAAACAGGCAGGGAGCGTGAGCTCGTCTGTGGTGGTTGGAGAACCCTCAACATTCTGGCCCGTAGCCCTGCGTGGCATCGACTGTACCACAAAAGCATGCTGGAGTGGCAAAGTCGATATCCATGTTTATAAACACAGTTATTGTTATTTGTGGTAATAAACATGATTTTGAGTTAATTCTATGAGGGAGGAGGGTGTTCAATGTGTTGTATAGTACAAGGGGAGGGTCATGTGAAAATCTGTTTTACTTTGGGGAGGGGGGTGCATTTCTTTTTTCCATGACACCTTGAGTTGGACCAGTCCCTCCCCTCCAGTAAATCTCGATCTGTCCCTTAGTTTTTATAGTCTGAATACTGTTTCAGTGTCCATTTTGGATTCCTCCAATACATGTTCTGTGAGTTACCAGTAGATGGCAGTAAGCAACAAAGATACAGTATTATGGCCAGATGTTGGTCTATGTACAGTCGTGGTCAAAAGTTTTGAGAATGACACAAGTATTGGTCTAAACAAAGTTCGCTGCTTCAGTGTTGTGAGATATTTTTGTCAGATGTTACTATGGTATACTGAAGTATAATTACAAGCATTACATAAGTGTCAAAGGCTTTTATTGACAATTACATTACGTTTATGCAAAGAGTCAATATTTGCAGTGTTGACCCTTCTTTTTCAAGACCTCTGCAATCCGCCCTGGCATGCTGTCAATTAACTTCTGGGCCACATCCTGACTGATGGCAGCCCATTCTTGCATAATCAATGCTTGGAGTTTGTCAGAATTTGTGGGTTTTTGTTTGCCACCCACCTCTTGAGGATCGACCACAAGTTCTCAATGGGATTAAGGTCTGGGGAGTTTCCTGGCCATGGACCCAAAATGTCGATGTTTTGTTCCCCGAGCCACTTAGTTATCACTTTGGCCTTATGGCAAGGTGCTCCATCATGCTGGAAAAGACATTGGTCGTCACCAAACTGTTCTTGGATGGTTGGGAGAAGTTGCTCTCAGATGATGTGTTGGTACCATTCTTTATTCATGGCTGTGTTCTTAGGCAAAATTGTGAGTGAGCCCACTCCCTTGGCTGAGAAGCAGCCCCACACATGAATGATCTCAGGATGCTTTACTGTTGGCATGACACAGGACTGATGGTAGCGCTTACCTTGTCTTCTCCGGACAAGGCGTTTTCCGGATGCCCCAAACAATCGGAAAGGGGATTCATCAGAGAAAATGACTTTACCCCAGTCCTCAGCAGTCCAATCCCTGTACCTTTTGCAGAATATCAGTCTTCCTGATGTTTTTCATCGAGAGAAGTGGCTTCTTTGCTGCCCTTGTTGACACCAGGCCATCCTCCAAAAGTATTCACCTCACTGTGTGTACAGATGCACTCACACCTGCCTGCTGCCATTCCTGAGCAAGCTCTGCACTGGTGGTGCCCCGATCCCGCAGCTGAATCAACTTTAGGAGACGGTCCTTGCGCTTGCTAGACTTTCTTGGGCGCCCTGACTCTTCTTCACAACAATTGAACCTCTCTCCTTGAAGTTCTTGATGATCCGATAAATGGTTGATTTAGGTGCAATCTTACTAGCAGCAATATCCTTGCCTGTGAAGCCCTTTTTGTGCAAAGCAATGATGACGGCACGTGTTTCCTTGCAGGTAACCATGGTTAACAGAGGAAGAACAATGATTTCAAGCACCACCCTCCTTTTAAAGCTTCCAGTCTGTCATTCTAACTCAATCAGCATGACAGAGTGATCTCCAGCCTTGTCCTCATCAACACTGTGTTAACGAGAGAATCACTGACATGATGGCAGCTGGTCCTTTTGTGGCAGGCCTGAAATGCAGTGGATTTAGTTCATTTTCATGGCAAAGAGGGACTTTGCAATTAATTGCAATTCATCTGATCACTCTTCATGACATTCTGGAGTATATGCAAATTGCCATCATCAAAACTGAGGCAGCAGACTTTGTGAATATTAGTATTTGTGTCATTCTCAAAACCTTTGACCACGACTGTACAGTTAATCTGATTTTGGCAAATTTGACATTTTGGAAGTATTACAATATGCTTGACAACTTTTGCGCAACCTTATGTTTGTTGATTGTTCTGCTCACTTCAAAGTGTGTCTGTGTGAGAGAGAGTTTCTTAAATAAAGTAGTTTTTAAACTCAATTAGACTTAACATCATTTGCACTCAAGCCAACTAGTAGCATTTTTTTTTTATTCAACAATGTGCTTATAAAATGATTGCAATGCATTGTCATTCATTTAAAATTGCAACAAAGTATCTGAAATGTTTAATGTCCAAAAGTACAAAATAACTCAAATGAAACAAGTGATTTGTATAAAATGGTAGTTTGCTTGTATCAAGGCCTAACCCTAACCCACAAATGGGTAACAAAAAGCCAATAATATAATGTAATGCATAGCTTAAGAAAAGCAGTCAAAATAAATACAAAAAAACGTTTTAAATACTTAAAACACAGACATTGAATCAGAGTACAAACAAACTTCGTAAGAAATAAGTTGCTGTTTTCAAGTACAGACCTTCATTTTCCGGTAGGTTATAAGAGTCTTTATGTGAATGCAGTCATCCACTTGATTACATGTAGGTGATAGTACTGACACAGAAGTTGATGAGGGCAGTTGATGCTCATCTTACACATGCACAACTGGAAATACTAAAGAAAATCCACATCATACAAGCCAACTGTACAAAACGAGTGGAAAAATGAATGTGTGAGATAGCTGAATGTCAGTTGTATTCATACCAGTTCAATGTCCTCTGAATGCATCCAGTATAAAACATCTCTAGAGCCGGCATGGATGGTGAGGGGTGAGGTAGGTTCCTTGGGAGTACTAATGATGAGGTTAGAACAAGCAATCATGATGTACTGTAGCTAGCTATTTGCATCAAAAGCTAGTGAAACGTTCAACTGTCAGAGTGGAAAATGTTTCTGACAAGACATTCTGTGGTCATCCTGTGAAAAAACAACAACCTTGTAGTTGAAAAATACATTGCAGTAGACCATATCTGATACATATTATGGGAAGGCCTCAGTTAGTGAGAATAGTCTAAGACTCACAACAATATTCTATATAACTAATACGTTTTGTTGGGTCTCATTGTTTTGTTATGACACCTGAGGTTTCCTGATGTTTGCCTTTGAGTGAACATGCATAACCACGTTTCAGAGTTTATGGTTGTGAGATTTTTTTTATGAGCTTTCCTGATTGTGGTAGAAGGCCACTGGTTAGCCAAGTTGTTACTTGTGATTAGTAATCACGCACAATGCATCATATGGGCCAGTGATGGACTTCTCTTTGCAGAGTTGATGTGCCATTGGCGAGTTGAGAGACCTTAAGCCTGTCTTAGACATACAAATGTAAATAATCCTTGTGCAGTTCACTTTTGTACTGCAAATAAAATAAATGTTTCCGCAGAAACATTGAGAGCTTGCATAAGCACTCTAAGCTCTATACAAGCTTTTTTACAGTAGCGATCGTAGTATAAATAGGTAAAGCAAATGCAGTATTGAAACTAGTTGACAGAATGTAAAGCTGTATAGCATAGTAACATAATAGAGACAGTTTACTTATATTTACCTCATCTTCTGGATACCTAGAAAATAGGACCTGGAGAGTCAGCCATCCAAGATGTGGGTTTAATTAAGTGTATTAGGAAACTGTCTCTTTAAAATCTATTTTTTAAAATTATAAATCATAATAACTAGAAAATCGATAGCGCACTGTCTCAATACATTCAGATTGTGTACTACCAAGTTAGTGTCTAGCTAAAACTAGAATATTGCAGTCACAATCTTGGGAAGAAATGGGAAACAACAACTTCCAACCAGTTCCAAGAGTCCTTGCTGTGACAAGCCCTCTTAAAAATATTTACTGAACTAATATTGATACCTGGTTCTGTATAAAATGTTCATATACTGTAAATTGGATATACCCATGATTTACTTTTAAAAGGAATCAAATGAAATAAATGTTATTTAAAAATACATTTTGCATTTCACTTGTAATTAAAACAATCAAAAGGAACTACTACTGAAAAACAAGGCCTCAAATCTACATTTTACCAAACATACCCTGTCACCTTTACCATTTAGGAGAGTAGGAATGGAGAAGCATGGTACAGGGTCATTACTCTTCCTTGTTTGTAACACGGAGGCCGTCATTAGTAGGGTTGTTTGAGGGGAAAGGGGGTCAGAGGTTAGGGGATGCGCTGTTGAGTGTGTACAGGCTAGGGACCTTGCACTCTGTTTCACCCCTGGATGGCGGTATTGGGTGCTTGACTGGGCACAGCAAGCCCAGGGTCTGTGGCGTTGTCCAGGGGATTCTGACTGAGACTCACAGAGGGGTGAAGGCTCCCCCTGTCTCCTAACTGGCCTGTTCTGGGTTGCTCCTGTTCAGTGGCGGGAGGGACGGTGAAGTATTGGGGGTCATCTGAGCGGCCCAGGGAGCACAGGCTCAGGCTGCCACACAGGGCCCCCCAGTTCTGCTCACACTGCATCCTCACTCTCCGTGCTATGGCCGTCCTCACCTCCTCACCACAGCCCAGCAGGATGTTCACTAGCTCCACATGAGGCCTGACATAGGAAGACGAAGTGGAGGAGGAACAATTATATTTCTGAATGTAGACTACTACAGTAATTGAATTCGGATCATGTGGACTCTGGACCATTGAAACGTACTACACTGAATGGGTTTAGTATGAAATGGAAAAAGGCCTCTCACGCTCACCCTTTGGGGAAGAGGTCCTGGAAGTGGATCATCTCCACCATGACGTTGACGTTCTCCCTGACAGCGGAACAAAGGTTGTGTTTGACGTAGCACTCTCTCTGCAGCTGGAACACCATCTCGTTCACCGCCAGGCACTTCCTGCTCACACAGCTGAACCGGTGCCTCAGGCCGTGGGCCATGCACTTCAGGGCATCCTTGATGAAGGACTTCCCCTTCAGAGTTCAACATAACAACAGTTGACACGTCACCTTAGGGCTGGCACAATAATTGTATAACTGACAATTCTGGACAATAACCATGAGCTAAAAAACGTATAATCGTCTTAATCCTCTTACATTTATTTTAGAGAGAAGCTTAATTTCCGAAAGTTCCAAGTGGTCAAAACTATTTGTTTTTGAGACTGGTGTCCCCAAATCTGTATTGGGAAAGGGGGAAAGGGGAAGGGGATACCTAGTCAGTTGCACAACTGAATGCATTCAACAGAAATGTGTCTTTCGCATTTAACCCCTCTGAATCAGAGAGGTGCGGGAGGTTGCGACGTCCACATCATCGGCGCCCAGGGAGCATTTGTTGTTGGGGGTTAACTGCCATGCTCAAGGGCAGAACAGCAGATTTTTCCACCTTGCTGGCTCAGCAATTCAAACCAGCAAACTTTTGGTTACTGGCCCAATGCTAGGTATGTTGTAGCTAATTTTCAAAGATGCATTATGCTCAAAACACTTTTCAGCAATTATGACAATAACCGTGGCAATTTGCATGACAATTATTTGTTACCCAAAATTCCATAATCGTCACAGCCCTACATCATCTCATACGTCTGAGGTGGCAATTTCCAAATTGTGTTGTGCTACAACTAATAAGCATAGCATACTACACGTTTATACAGTTACATAAAGGATGTACATTAGAGCATGCAGAGTATTTGTGGCATGGAGATACTGTCACTTTCTTTGACCCTCTACGATAGAAGCACACTCCTGAGTCACTCACAATCCAGGAGGGTAGTTGGGAGGTTTGGAAGAAGTGGGATATACCTGGGAGTCAAACTTGCCGGCGTTGTGCAGAAATGTCATACAGATGTCATGTAGGCCTTGTATTTCACAGGAGTTGTTGTTGAAGCATTCGAACATGCCACAGCCCACATCTCCAGCATTAACCAGACAGTGCTGGATCTCCGCTGATGATGAGGGAGAGAACATGTTAGTTAACATGAGGAATACATGAGGGAGGGCAGCATGTTAGTGGTCTCTTCAGAGGGCGAACAGTAGCTTTTTAATAATAATGCAGCAGTCGATCTGGTGCCAATGTGGTGGTGCCAAAGTCCCCTAAATATTACTGATGCTTTTTCAATAAAGAATGATCAGCCAATTACAGTATAGATTTAAAAAAAAAATTATATCTGTGATCCTTAGTAGCCAATTAAGCAAATAGCTTTTAAAAATGATGAAGAAATTGTAATAGGTTTAGACCAGTGTTGATGACTAGGCAGATGGAATGCTGGGACCATAATTTACGAGTTTTGCGCATTCCCGAGTGCCTGACGCCATGTGGCATTGCATTGGGTGATTACATAAACGTAGGGGATTCAAAAATGCAAGTACATTAATACATTTCATTGCTAATACAGTGTCATAACAGCTTTGATCGAGAAATAAAACATTATGGGCTTCCATTCAATGCATTTGTGCGTAATTGCGCACAAATGGCAACGTGCGCTTTTTAAGATTAACCCAATCGCAAACGATCAAATATTCAAGTTTCTGATGGCTTTTTGAAAAGTCTACAGTATCCTATAGTTTGTTAGAAAGAAACAAAAAATCGAATCATGCATTTGTAGTCTACACATACCCTAATATCTTGACATTTATGTTTTTTAGCAAAACTGCTTATAGGTCCTATAAAACGCAAATAAAATATTCGGATAGATTATTTGCATGTCAACTGTATCCTAACAATGTTACAATTTCTAAGTTGTTGTTGTCAACATATTCCCGCTGGTGTGTGCTTGCGCCGGGGGTAAAAACAGCTTACTGTCAGAGCTTGTGTTGGCATTTGAACGGGAATGTGCTTGGATAAGAGCTGGCCACTAGGCGTATGGAATTACAGTGAAGTGACAGAACTAGAGATCACTGCGTACCTGCGTAGGAAGAGACTATGACAAAACCACATTTCGACCACAGGTAATTTCGGGGTCACAATGTTGTAAAAACGGTTTAATCCACATTGAAATAGCCTATTCCACGAGAGTAAATTACCCAATAAAACCTGAGCCAAAATCACAATGGCATTTTGCGGAGCATTTAATGACAACGTGACAGAATTCAAGCAGGGAATGTATTAGACCTTACCTGCTGAAGGTATAATACGCATTATGTTTTAGATATAGAGGTTTGAGGCAGTAGAAATACATAGAAGCATTCACTTACCTGTGTTTTGCAGTGAGAGTCGTCTTTTCTGCTGGTTCAATTGTTTGTCTTGAGGGATTTCGTGAAGTTCGTTTGGATCTGTCGCCAATACTTGCTGAAACGCTATATAAAAGAGCACTAAAGAAAATTTAAGTAGCATCTCCATTCGCACTATTACGCACTCCAAAAAGAAAAAGGAAATTTGGAAAAATATTACTTTTGAATGAAATTCAACTTGTACATTGATAACTTTGCAGTAGATACGTGTATGGAAACGCGCATTAATGTCGAGAGTGAGTACTGAGGGGGTATGGATGCTTCCTATAG